CGTGAAATGGATACCAAATTGGCAAATTCATGTGCATATGAAAACAATAAATGGAAACTAAATACTGTCATTTAAATACAATGTCATGTGTGCTTCTACGGATTACTTAATTATAGTCACGTACTCACGTGGGCAAACTACACAAATTAGGAAAATCGTACTTAATTAAAATAATAACCTTGTGCTAAACTACCGAGAAGCCCGCATCAACCAAATTTAAGGATACTTTTTCTAGCTTTTACCGATGAGTCTTACAAGAAAATGGTTATAATTATTTGATAAAGAGGTGAATGTTTAATTTAATTATATTTGGTAAAATAAGCTCTTGTGATTATTTAATATTAAAAGCTACAAACTTCATGCTATTTAGTGTAGCTTCTTGAAAAAGATGTTTTATTTTTACAAAACTTATTAAAAATTGTCGTGTATAACATATAATAAGAAGCTTTTAGAGACATATAAATAGTACTCCCTCCGTCCCGAAAAGGTTGACCAAAGTTGACTTTCACGTGGATTAATAAAGTAAAAACTGTGTGGTTAAAATTTGTAAAGAGAAGAGAGAATTAATTTTAGCCACATATTCCTTACTTTAAATGAAAATGTCAAATCTTTTTAAGACACCCAAACAAGGAAATTTGGTCAACCTTTTCGGGTCGGAAGGAGTACAAAAGTTTGAAGGTGTGAAATTATGCCTACCCATTGTTCTAAAAATCGCTCTAGACGTCCGACTAGTCCCCACTCTCCACATAGGCGCTAAGCGGTGGCCGAGTGCCCCAATTTCAATCTAGACGCTCCGACCAAATGGATTGATGCCTAGGTGAATTAGTCGGTCACCTAGGACGCTTAGTTTCCCGCCAAGAGAGCTTAATCGGCCGCCTAGGGTGTCATATTTTGTCGAGCATTTTTTTTGCCTTTTCATTTTATATTTTTGTAAAAGATATATGCACCTTTAACTTTAATCATACATATGATGAAATATGATGAAATGTAATTGTATATTAAGATAAAAAGCTATATGTATTTGTATATATTCTTAAATAGTATTATTATTGTTGTTGTTATTATTATTATTATTATTATTATTATTATTTAATACTAGTATTTATTATATAAGAAATTAATTGAGTAGTTATAATAGATTAATAAATGTGACAATTCTATCATTCATACATGTTAATGTGTAAGCGTGTGTATATTCTTTATACACAAACACAATTTTACTTATCGTTCTTATGTGAAAATATTGACAAAATTGTAATTTTTATGTCTCAGATTAGTCCCCGACTAGCGACCTACGCCTTTTAGAACAGTGTGCCTACCGAATGCACTAATTCAAAGTTTGATAAATACTCAACTAAATGCTAATATAAGATATTACTGTGGCTAAGAGCAGTGTATTAAAACTATAATGCATAAAAATGTAAGATACTTGTAGTAGTAATAACAAAATCAACTTGTTAACATCTTCACATAACACATGTAGTTACGTGCGGATCCAGCAATCACGTGTCTTGGTCTATAGAGCAATTATACCAGACTTAAACATTAGCGGTGTGCACACTTGAAAGGTCGTCAAATCCGTGATCTTTTCATCTACCCCTATAAAGGTTGTGTTATATAGAAAGTAAAAAATGGTAATCACACAAGGAATAAGAAAACATTTCCATGACAACTATTAAGATTCGAGTACGTTTTTCAAACAATGTGAACCGGCCAAAGCGTCGTCTAATAGTGAGTAGAATTTTCAAATTTATGTCTTTGCTATAATACAAAGTGTTTTGTATTTTATAGGATTTCCAATGCCAGCCATTGTCGTTCTTCTATGTCATACTCCCTCCGGCCCAATTTGATTTGAAATATTTCCTATTTTGGTTGTCCCAAAATGTTTTCCCACTTTCTATTTTAGGTATGTAAATAAGAATAAAATGACAAATTTACCTTTGCTTTTACTTTTTCCCCATTAACTCAAAGGCATATACTTTTAGAAAGATGGGCAAATATGTAAAAAGCAAACATCATTTATTGTCATTCCTTAATCCTTGTGCCGATCAAAGTTTGCGATTCAATTCGGGACGGAGGAAGTATATCTGAATTGCACGAAACAAGAGTATCCCGGATTTGAGCCTTACCAAAAGAATGGGGTGCCTATAACGGTCAAATTTATAGGTCTTCATTTCTCCAAGTTTATTTAAAAAAAAAATGGATGAATGAGCCCACCTCTCGTCAATTATTGGATGGTAGATGTCGCATACGTGTTAGGAAGCTCAGGAATTTCAGGAATTCATTGCTCATATTGACTACGACCATTCATTCCCATTCATTTGTATATTAGGGTCCTTCATTGTAAACTAAATCAAATGGTCATATTCTTTTTAATTGGCCGATCAAAATCAAGCGATTCAAGTTATGATGGATAGATTAGCTACAATTTTGGTGAGGAGTCATAACCAAATTCAAAAGGTAGAAAATGATACGCTCACGGTCGTGCGCGCATCAAGCGGGCACAAGGAAAGAATCAGGGGCGAAGCCAGGACACTGGGTCGGTACAAAAAATATTTTTAGAAAAAAATTTACACGAAATTTTTTACCTTAAAAATTAAACCATTTTTAAAATTTGGGGTGAACCAGGATCTAGATTGACCCACCCCTAGCTCCGCCCATGGAAAGAACGTTAGTTTCTATGAATCACACACTACTCACACACCATGTGTTTGGTTTGGTTCGATTCCCAAACTGATACGGCGCATTCACAAAGTAAAGTTATATTTTTGGTTATCCAGAAATTTACAACCGACACTGTTTTGTTTGGTTTGGTTATATTTTTCGACCAATATATATATATATGTATTGGGTACCGACTTTTCAACTCTGTTTGTAATCAAAACCAAAATTCTATAAATTCCAGAAATAAAACAAAAGGAGAGAAGGAAACAGCTTGACTCTCATGACACCTCTAATGTTATGACTGAACGCCTCTAAGTCAGAATCCGGGCTAGATCGATGCATGCACTTGCTGTCCGTTTGCCGACCCGCTCTCGAAAGAGCTCTCAGTAAGTGAGTACGCGTAGAGACGATCCGAGCACTTCACCGGATCATTCAATCGGTAGGAGCGACGGACGGTGTGTACAAAGGGCAGGGACGTAGTCAACGCGAGCTGATGACCCGTATTCGCACTTCAAACGTGGAAAAAGGATGACACTCCATTCCCGAGGGTTCCCAAAACCAAAGTGTTTTTCATTATGTGCAAACTGATCGCATGGTGAAGTTCATATAGAGTTATAGACAACAACGATAGGATTATTCCATTATGTTCGTATACCAAAGCGGTCATTTCAGAAGAAGACGAAGTAAATCTTCGTTTGATATGTAATGGAGAAGAATCATATACAGAGTATATAAAGTCGTGTAGTGGACCGAAGCTTATTGATTTTACAAAATACTCACTATGTAACCTTAAAACTTTTCCAACTTTCCTTTTTTGGTTATCCCAAAAACTTTACCATTTTCCCTTTTAATCAATCAATTTGTGACTCTTGTTATTTCTCTCCTCTGTACAAATTTCTACCATACAATTTTTACTTTATTATTCTACGTACCGATCAAACATGACAAACCTTTAAGGGATGGAGGGAATAACACTTTTTCTATTTGGCTAATATGCCCACAATGAGGGCCGGCTCAATAGATTAGGATGCCCGGTGCAAAATTGCAAATCACGTAAACTAGGTCTTATATTAAATAAATATAACATCGAAAATCAACCTTAAAAAATACCCAAAAAAGATTGTGACCAAATGTGAGATTGAGAGATAAGCATACTTTCGAACATGAACAACCAAAATCAGTAAAAAAAAGAATTAAAATCATAAAGTAAGAAATAAGAAATTACCCAAAAAAAACTAAGAAAAATAGGATAAAAAGTGAAAATTTTACATTTGGTTGGATGGCTGAATCATTTGAGAAAACCAATAATCAACTATTTAGGAAAATAATCACAAATACAATAACCCAAATTTGTAGAGAATGTGAGAAGTCAAGTAAGAGAAGCTAGCGAAGCGTGCATTTGGGTCGTTCGGTCTTTTTCATTTAAAATTGTTTCAATTTCAAAATTCAAAATAAAAGGTACGATGTGATGTTATTTTTGTACCTTTTATTCTGCACATTTCAGTTTCACCTAATGCACATGTGAGTTTAAATTTTAATTATGCACATTTCAATATCATCTAATGCACATTTCGGTTTCACCAAATGCACAATTCAGTTCCACACAATTCAATTCAACGGTCCAGATTCGTTCTCATTTCTCTCCTAAGATCCGTTCTTACCTGAACCGCTCCCTATATATATATAAAATTAAAAGTGGGCCAAATATTTTTGGAGGCCCTATGCAAAGGCAATGTTTGTACAGTCCCATCTACGACCCTGTCCACAACTCCCATATCAAAACTGTCCGAGTCATTAAAGAGTGTATGATTTAAGTAGATAAATGAGATAATTTAAATTTGTATGAGAATGAGACATTTTATATGAATCCGAACACATACACAGATATATATGAGTTCAGGGATCACTAAAGGGTGACCAATGCTCCAATAACTATTACATGTCATATGATATTAAACGCTCAGATTACCAAATTCTAATTTATTTCATGTCTATTACCGCTGCCATTATAGATTGCACCTAGTGTTCACTATTAGGGGTGGGCACGGTCGGTTAACCACACTTCTGTTAACCAATTTTCGGTTAACCATGTTATCGGTTACTAAGTTTTACATACCGTGATATCGTTACCCGTACCATAAGATTGGTTAACCGGGTGCCGATTAATCAATATTTAGGTTAAACACTAACGGTTAACCAATAAATCACAACAATTTTCTTGTTGTTTTTAAACATAACATATATGCCGGGTGAATCTATTCAGCTTTGGGTCGTTTGAAAAGCTTTCATGTCCAATGCACATTTTTCATCATAATCATTAGCGATGAAAGAATCTCTGACATATAAAATGCAAAAATAACCACCTTTATTAAATTCATACCAATCATGGCCAAGAACATATAGTGCCCAGAACATGCTTATTTGGGCAAACAAATATAGAGGTCAAAACATGCCAGTTATTGAAATAAGCAGCCACAACCCATAGCTACCAAACCAAACACAATCGCAACATCCCTAACCACATAATTTCCCCGCAACAGCAGGGGAACAAGTCTCATATTACAAAATATGTACTAGTATTTATTTAAATCATAACCGTACCATATACCATTTTTTCTTTGCGGTTGATTACCCGTATAATGAGTTTTAAAAAATCCGGTGCGATTAATTGAAAAATATATCAATTTTTTGGTTTTTTTATTTGATTAGTCGGTTACGATTTTTTGTGTCCATCCCTACTCGCTAAAGCGGCTTAACCCTTCCTCGATGTCCAGTGTAGTTATGGAAAAACTATATCTCCTTTCTTCGCACAGTTGTTCCTTACCTAGTTACCTCCATGGTGCACACAATATTGGAGAAACCTTTCTCAAGGGTTGAACCGGTCTTCCATCTGACCGATCCCAACACCTCCACATAGATCTTACACGTTACTCAACATGGTCAAGCTCCTCCTAGAAACAAATTAACATCTAATCATATTTTGATAGATTATGTAAAAATTCCCAAACACCATGAATAGTGTTATTAATTAGATTCACATATCAAGATTCAATATGAGATTTTTTCACAATATGTCAACAAACTTTATGTGAACAAAATTCACAATATGAAAAAATTATGTTTTCTCACTCCGATTTAAAAATCTTCATTTTTACACCTCAACTCCATATGAAAAGACAATAATGCCTCTCCATTAACAAAATGTTGGCCTTCAATATATTCCTGATCGAGACATTTTTGTCATTTTATACAGGATTGGGGTGCACAAACAAAAAATTTTAAATACGAGATGCAAAGTCTAATTTAGACAATAAAATGGAATGCAAACTCAAATTAAGACGTCACATTGCTACCTCATCATTACTCCATCATTACTCCATCGACATACTTCTGGCTTTTTCTATTTTAATGTCTTATGCAACATCTACATACGAGTATATACTTCCTATTACTAAAATTTGACAAACTTTCCTTTTTTTAATTATCCTAAAAATTATTTTCATTTTCATTCAAAGTAATAAATATATGACAAATTATTTTTCTTCCTTTACATAAATATTAATTATATCACATAGTTATTATTTTAATATTTTATGTGCAAATCAATTTTGACTAAGTTTTACTCCCTCCGTCCCGAATTGAATTACAAACTTTGACCGGCACAAGGATTAAGGAATGACAATAAATGATACTTATTTTTTACACTTTTGCCCATCTTTCTAAAAGTAGATGTCTTTAAGTTAATGGGAAAAAGTAAAAGTAAGGGTAAATTTGTCACTTTATTCTTATTTACATACCTAAAATAGAAAGTGAAAAACCATTTTGGGAAAACCAAAATAGAAAATTTTGCAAATAAAATTGGAACGAAGGGAGTATGAGTCAGAGGCCGAGAAGGAATATTACTTTTACATCCGTATCCTCCGCTATCACCTCTGGAGAAATGCCCACAACCACCGTTCCATCACTAGCCGAAGTTATTATAAAAATTATCTAGACAATAAAAGACTAGTTTAGAAAACTTATACCCCGTACAACATAGTAATAATAATGTTTTTCTAAATGATATTTTATGATATTTAATAGAAATAAATTGATAAATGAATAAATATGAGTTCTAAGCTATGTAAATCAAATTTATTACAGTAAGTTTGAGTCTATCCTTTATTCTCTAAAAGTTAAAAAATTCATTCCTTCGTATTTTCTACCTTATTGTTCCCCCTTACTTTTTATGCATAGCACTATCTAGGTTCTGAACACATCCTACGCAAAAAGTGAGAAATATCAAAACCTGGTATCGGTTAGTATTTTTAAGCTCAGCCTCCAACCTCTTCATTGATGCTGAAAGCCTTCCAAGCTCCCCAATCTGGGCAGTACTAACAGAAACAATTTAATAATACAATTAAAGAAAATACTAACCAACCAATCATAAAATATAGATAAATATTAGCAGAAATGCATTTTTTAGGTAAAATATTATAAGAGACAAAAACCAGACCTCAACCAAAGTGGTGCAGACTGATGAACCCATCCAACAAAACAGGGAGATCCTACCAAGTAACTCGGCACGCTCTTTATTCTATATGCAAAAATAAAAAAATAAACACCCAAATCAGTTCAAATGACATTTTTACAATAGAAAATATTCCAATAAACATTTAAAGGCCCGGGGATTAAGCTTATAACCTTGTATATGCCTGTCCTGCCAAGCCATACAATTTGATCCAAGAACAAGAAAGTGGATACCAATGCATTCTTCGACTGAAACTGTTACAAGTTTTAATGTCAGAAAAAAAGTAATAGGTTTTCATTTTAAAAGAAACACTAATAATGTACTTGTCTACCTTTCCCAACAAGACTAGAGAAAGTGGGTTTCCCAGAGCACTTGGACTGATAAGGGCATGCAGATCATTGATGAACTGTAAGCAGTAAGAACAATGTCAAAACCGCATAAAGTGGCAAACTTTACTTAAAATGGTCATTATGGGGTCCTTGGCGTAATTTTTTTTTTAAAAAATAGACACTTGTACCCACTATTCTAAAACCACTAATCATCGTTGAAACAAGTAACAGTGATATCTGACCTTGAAAAGACGGAACACTTTGCGGGCCAAGCTAGTTGATTTATCAACATTTTGAGCAATTTCGGGCTCTCCATTACTCAAGGTGTTTGCCAAACTCAAAGAGAATGATACAACATTGCATTTTTCTTCTTTTCTAGGTGTATTTAGACACTATAACAACTTGTTATAGCCTACCAATAATCTCTACAAGAACACGTACCTAATCTAAAATGATGAAAATAATTGGAGTCTCGGAGAACGATATGGCGTTGGAACACCTTGGAAATAAACTTCATTGCAGTATGGCAATCCCCACAAACCCTTAGGTTCTTGTATACCCTAATCGCTGCTCCTTTCGGCAAATAAAGAAGCCCAAACGCGACAGCCAACTTCTCACTATGGTAAGCTAGGTTCTGCTGCCTACTCTCTTCATTGATGTCATGAAGAGAACATTTCATGTCAGGAACATAACCAGCCTCCTTAATCAAACTCAGAACATCATTCACCTTTAAGAAAATTTCATCAGTTTTCGGATGAGTTCTGTCCCCTGATAAGAACTTATGCACCACGCCATTCTTCTCGATCCAGCTATAGCTACGTTCCTTGCGGGCCCCGCTCGCCATCATCAATCTTCTGATTCTTGAAGAATCTCCCCATTGTCCAGCTGCTGAATATATGTTTGACATCATTACGTAAGGGGCAGCATCTAGTGGTTCCAGTTTGAACAGCATGGTTGCAGCTTTCTCTGCTACCTGGATGTTTCCATGAACCCCACATGCAGATAGCAATGCCTTCCACACAGTCGCGTCCAATTCCAAATCTTTTCCCGTGGTAAGCAACTCCATAGCCTCTTGCATCTTCCCCGACCGCCCTAGAAGGTCTATCATGCATGCGTAGTGGCTGGGGCCTGGCTTTATCCCGTAAATGTTCTCCATGGATTCAAAATATGACCTTCCACGCTCAACAAGACCAGCACGACTACAAGCAAAGAGCAAACCTATGAAGGCAATGAAGTCTGGCTTTACCCCTTCTCCTATCATACTGTCATAGAATCTTACCGAGTCTTGCCCTTTTCCATTTTGGGCATAACCGATTATTCTGGCAGTCCATGTAATCACACTACGGGAACGCATGGAGTAAAAAATGCGGTCAGCATCTTCTAGGGACCCACAATTCGCGTACATGGTCACAAGAGAATTGTCAACCGATTCAGACATATTGAGACCAGATTTAATATAATTCGCATGGATTTGCTTTCCTAAATTAAAAACAGCAATTTCTGCACACGAACTCAAAATGCTGGCGAAGATGATCACATCTGGAGTGACATCAGCAGACATCATCTCACGAAACAGCATTAGAGATTCTTCATGCATGCCGTTGTGAGCATATCCAGTTACTAGAGATGTCCATGAAACCACATCTTTGTCCATTATTCCCTTAAACACTTCCTTTGCATAAATTAGCTCTTCTTGTTTCGCGTACATGTCTACAACAGCGTTAGAAACAAGCCTGTAACTGTCATAACCGCTCTTGATGATTAAAGAGTGGACACACTTTCCATTTCTCACATCCTTTGTGGTAGCAAGAGAGTTGAGAACGGAAGGGTATGTGAAATTATCTATATCCATGTGTCTAGAAAGCATATCCTTAAACAATGACAATGCAATGTGAGGAAATCTGTGTTTAACGCACCCCAGTATCATGGCATTCCAAGAAACAGCGTTATCAACTTCCATGGACTCCAACTCTTTTCTTGCACTGGATAAATCTCCACATTTTGCATACATATCCACCAATGCACTCTGTACAAACAAATTTGAACCAAAACCGCCATGAAGAACACAGGCATGAACTTGAACCCCTGATCTTAAGTCGCATAGTGCAGAACAAGAAGAGAGAACGCCAGGGAAGGTATACTGGTTGGCATTAATATTTTCTTCTCTCATTCCCCAAAAGCACTGAATAGCTTTTGAAGGATTGCCATTCTGAGAATACCCATTAACCATTGCAGTCCAAGTAACATGATTTTTCCCACTTGAGATCATGCTAAATACAAATTCGGCTTCCTTAACACACATACACTTTACATACATATCTACAAGACCTGTACCAACAAAGACGTCTTGATCAAACCAAGTCTTTATTGAATATGCATGAATCTGTTCACCTCTAGAAAGCAAACACTTCTGAGAGCAAATCCTTAGAATGCTGCCAAGCGTGAAACACCTTGGCCTCTTACCATCTTTCTGCATCGCCCAAAACAGCTCAAAGCATTCACTTTCAAACCCGTGTTTAGAGTACCCAGAAATTAGTGTCGACCAAGTGATGACAGACTTCTTTGGAGCTTCCTGAAAGAGATGTCTTGCTTCAGTAAGCCTCCCTGCTTCTGCATAGGACGAAATCATTGCATTCCACGCATTTTCATCCTTCTTATTATGCACTTTGTCCTCATCTAGGGAGCCAGTGTTTGATAAACAGCCTAAGGTTCGGTATTTATAAGCAAAATCAGATTTCTGCGAGTTTCTTGCAGCTGGATTCACAAAGTTAAAACGATGCAGCCTAATATTGTTCATCACCTCAAGAAACATCAATCTCGGAAAACATTGTGAATGCTAAATTGTGAACTATTATTTCACCCCGAGATCTTTTCTGCGGATTAGCTTCCAAGTGCCAAGCATGTTGGACCATTGAAGGGCTGTATAGCTGAAATTGGCAAATCCGGCGAATCTGCTGAGATGGATGAAGTTCTGCCCAAAGCATTTAATTGTATAAATATGCTGAATCATGGATAAATTATATTTAAAATATATTTTACTAATAAAATAAAGAACAAATAAATGAAAAATTGTTAAAATGGTCATCTAGCGTAACTTCAACCAATTCAATTAGAAAAGAAACTCTAACCTACTTATCATGAGAAAATGAAGGCCCTGTGCAACAACAAAATTTGGGCTTTTTTCAAGTTCCAACACAAGTAAAATGTGTTAAAATACAAGTTAACGATCTAGTTTCACTTTGTTACTACCTCCGTCCCGAAAAGGTTGGCCAAAGTTGACTTTCACGTGGATTAATAAAGTAAAAATTGTGTGGTTGAAATTTGTGCATAGGAGAGAGAATTAATTTTAGCCACATATTCCTTAATTTAAATGGAAATGACAAATCTTTTTGGGACATCCAAAAAAGAAAATTTGGCCAACCTTTTCGGGATGGAGGGAGTATAATATTTCATACGTAGTACTAAATAACTGTAGCAAGCGAAAATTCAAAATTACAAAAATCATTTGTAGCGAAGGATCTAGCTTCACTTTGTATTTTAGCATCATTGTCTTTGGAAACATAATTACTACCTATTATGTTTAATTCTCCCCTAATCTTGTACATGATTATAAATTTCAAATTAAAATTCAGTTTAAACTTTGAGTGAAATCATGAAAGGTTATAATAATATAATTATAATTTATAAACCTAAAGGGCTAAAGTTACCTAATAACATACTTAAACGCAGTGATGGAGACACATGTATAATTAGGGGGGCCTTGGCCTCTCCCATTAATTTACTCTTATTAAGTTTTACCTGGTAAAAAATTTTGGGGCCCCATCAAGTTTTACTTTATTTTATATAATAGTGTAACATAATTTGATCACCTTCCAAATTTTTAATCATCATTTTCATTTACCCCAGTGCCGCAAAGGCTCCCACCTACGGTGGGGTAAGGGGGGGTCGGATGTAAGCAGTCTTACCTCTGTACTAAAGCACAGAGAGACTGTTTCCGGATGACCCATAGTGAAAATCGCGTCCAAAATTGCATGGACTGACTGCTTCTCCATAACAAAGAAGCGCAGACAGTTTAGTGAGCCATTTTGCTTTATTCCATCATAATCTCAAGCCAAAAAATAATGAATCTTTGGCTCCATTGCAAATGATGGAAATTTCCAAATTTTTAATAGATAATAAAAAATTCTCCACCACCCCGTGTTTTAATTTGCACCCTGTGTTGGATCAATGAACTATGGACCTAAAATAAATATAAGGTTGGGCGTTTTTAAAATTTAAGGGTAAGCTGTATAACAATACTTCCGGGGGCCCTTTCATCATGGCCCGGCTCCGCCCCTGCTTATTTGGTAATTTTGAGCAAGCTCCGAATTGGATTGTAAACTTACTTCACAACGATTTACTTGAGTAATGAGATGTTTTGTTTATTATTGAAAAAATACTTATACGATATACCAAATTCTTAAATCTTAATTGTTAAACACAATTATTATCAATTCAATTACAACAATGAAAAATAACAACAATGCAACAAACTAATTTCAGATTTTCAACAAACCAAATTTTAAAATTGAAATAGTGAAATCAATTCAGTAATTATTACCAATTCAAAAACTGAAATAAATAAACAAATAACAACAAAGCAACAAATTAATTTCAGATTTTCAGTAATTTGGAAATTGCAATTAAAGAAATTCGAAAATCATAGACAAATAGGTTCATCATTCATGTGCTAAGTACTAACTGCAACTGCTATTGACTATTGAGTATTGTGTGTACTGCGTAGTTGCTTACCGGCGGACTGCGGAGACAGTGGAGACGCGGAGTAGCACGGACGAGCGGTACTGGAGGCGGGGCGCTCTGGCGCGGCAACGCCGTGGGGGCTGGCGGTTCGCGGGTTCCGTTGGGCGGCGCTTCCTTCTTCAGGACTTTTGTAGTTCTGTTCAGCGCAGCCCAGACCTCTTCCAGTCTTCCGCGTTCTTTCTTTTTTCTTCAAATGTTTGAGAGCTCGGCTAGTGGGCTGGCAGGTGAGTAATACTGATACTGGGCCCTCCAAAATTTTGGACCATGTCCAGATGCACATGGAGTCCCTGCCCTGGGCCGGCCCTGATTTCAATCACACTAATATGATAATATCCCAAGGAAAAAAGTTCTTAATACTTCAATTTGTATATCAGATTTTAAACAAGATTAATGGCAAGAAAATAAAAATTGGAAAATTTCTCCCTTCCTTTATCCTAATCTCTTCGTTGTCTATATGATTTTAAAACACCTCAATGGCCAGAAGATTAAAAAAGTGTAGTTTTAAAATTGTTCTTTTATTGTCCTCTTAGGCTAAAATTTTGGAAAACATAAATGCTAAGAATAAAATGAAATACACTTCTTATTCTTTTGTCTTTTACTTTCCTCTAGGGCTATGATTTTGAACCATAAAAGTGACTTAAGATAAAAATGCAATACTTTTCCTCTTTTCTTGCCATTAATCATGTGCTAAAAATTGTTAATGGTTTGTTCATTTATTCTAGACAAGCATTCCAACTCAGCTGGTTGTGAGGTTACCGTGCCTAGTGGAAGGTCTTGAGTTCAAAACCCGCTAGGCACATAAGAGTTTCAAGCTCAATGGAGTGAATTTCAGCCCTGATTATTTCAGGTCCCCCCAGCCCCCCTCCTCCAGACCTCCTGGAGTAAAACAAAAGACTTATTAGGCTAAAATTTGGAATAAAAAATGTTAAAGAGATAAACAATCCTCTTTTTTCCCCTCTTCTTGACATGTGACATTGCATCATTATAAGTTGATCCTCAGGGTCAAGGACATTTTTTTTTTCATTCGAGTTTATTTCGTGTTTTTGTTACGTCTCATTTTCTGGAATATACGACTCATCAATATATATAGATGCCCATATATAAGCTTCTCGGGTTTTTTGAGTTTTTTGTAGTTTTAGTAGTATGCGAATATGTGAGATAGTGATAACAATAGTAGTTGCTACATCATTAATACTATTATTATTGCTTTTGTCATCTTCATTCTTCTTTGTTGTATTATTTGCATTTCTACTTAATTGCGAGGATGAGACTCCCTTTTGTTGAGTTAGGTATGTATAGAACACTTTTTACTTACTTTAAGTTGATTTTAAGAAACCATCTAAACTTATCAAAAGAATAACTTAACTACTCCAGAATCCAGATGAAGCCTTCATCCTCATGTTGTTATCAACTACCAAGTTTTGAAGCTAAAGTTATGACTAAGTAAGGTTTCGATCTCATGAACATATCACAGTCTGTAGTTTGTGTTTTAAATATGTATCTAATTTGATACTTTGTACTCCCTCCGTATCAAATTAATTGACCCACTAGGTTTTTGTAGTAGTTTAAGAAAAATTGTAGGTGTACTGTAGATAAAGTAAGAAGAAAGTAAGAAACGATGTAGATGATTAAAAATTGAGGAATACTTTACAAAAGGAGTATAAACAACCGGACCCCATATACATTAAGCACTGTAGCAAAGCGTAAAGGCCATACATTCGGCCCTGTTGGCAGTTCGCACACCCAAAAAAAGAAAAAACTGTAGCAATTCGTAAATGGGAAAAATGTCAGCACAATGGCGCCAACTTTTTAGATTTGGAGCCAGATTAGTTCCAAAATATTCACACTTCTATAAATAGAAGAGAGAGTGACGAGTTTGGAGCCAAGAACAATGGTGGATTCGTAGATGACATGCGCCTCTCAGACTTAGGAAAACCTCTCAGACATGTTGTCATCATCGAGGGGGGCATTTGACGCCCATTAAACAGGTAAACTTTGTCATCATAGAGGGCGTTTAGGTCTTGTTGCTATTTTGAGGCCTTCCTACAACAATAGAAATTGTTGTGGTTGCTATCTCCAAGCCATCCAAGACCACTGACCACAGTTCCAGGGCAGAAATCCGATCACCGATGCCAAACCTGAAACTTGCAGAGCGTGCATCTGTACTGGACTTCCTGAATCAAAGGACAGTCAAAGGAAAGGTCAAGCGAGGTGGATTCATAGATGCTGTAAATGCTTTTGGTGTCTCTCGCAAAACAGTGTTCAGGTTATGGACTGTGTCAGAAAGATGCAGGGCTGCAAGAGAACCCGTGAACCATAACTCCAACAGAAAGGGAAGGTGTGGAAGGAAGCCCAAAATAGTGGACATTGCGGCATTTACAGCACTTCCATTCCATCAAAGGAGTTCAATTAGAAGCTCTGCAACAGCTATGGGTGTTCCTGCATCAACTGTACAAAGATTACTCAAGAGGGGAGAAATAAAGGGAATATGAATCTGCAGCTCCACATATCAAGGGAGATGATAATGAATTCATATTGGCAGTTCACAAGATGGGGAGGGATGTTCAACTAATGAATCAACCATCAAATAGCCCGGATATGAATATCCTTGATTTGGGCCTATTCCGGGCTATTCAATCTTTAAAGGATACATGCTCAACAATAAATTTTTCTGAACTGGTCCAGAACTGCAATGATTCATTCATTGCATACAATCCTCATTCCTTGAATCATGTATTTCTAAGCTTACAGTTATGCATGATTGAAGTAATGAAGGTTAAGGGGGGCAATGCATATTCACAAGTACACATAGGCAAGAAGAAACTACAAAGGCTTAACATGCTGCCAGTTTCAGTGGCTCCTCCCCCACTACTAGTGCGGGAATGTATGAACTACTTGCAACCAGGGACAATGGACCAAGAAGGAATGGAGGAAGGAGCAATTGTTGATGCATAAAGAAAGGGACCACTGTATAAAAGGGGTAAACACTGGCAGTTTTGATTTTTGTTGTTGAAGTATGGTTTAAAACAATTTTTTGCAAGACCATGTATAAATACTCCATATTTTTGCATAGAGGAGTAGGTCTTTTTTTTTATGTAACGGTGTATAAGCCCACAATTTGGTCACAATGAATGAAGTAATTTCAGAATTTCAGAATGATGTCGTTAATAACAATGGAGTAAATCAACAATAACCAAGTTTAGATGATGCAAAACACGAGTAGGACTACAGAATACAGAATACACACCACCAAAGCACAAATTAAAGTAGAGATTAGGAGTACATCCCTTACGGAATATCCAGACGAATTTCATCTCATGGACCAGCCCTTTCCTTCGAGTTCACCTCCTCTTCACCGGAATATGTGTCACCAAACCCAGAAGAACTTGAATCCACCAAATCGGACCTGAATAATCTCTGGAGAGGCCAGTCTGGGTCAGTTTTTGAAGAGGTTGTCCAGTCTGGACAATCGGTGCTTCGGGAATCCAAATCAGAGACGGGCACCGGATCCGCTAGGCGAATGGGCACATTACTCAGAACAGGGCCTTCCTTCGATTTCTCTGAAGGAGGTGATGGACATCCTTCATTAAGCCTTTGATCAAGCAGTATCAGTTCAGAATCAGACTCATACAGATCCATGCAAAGGATCGATGGATTGGTAGCTCAGAAATAAGGTGGCAGACAACAGATTAGGAATGGAGAGGAGGGCTGTGAGGAGGGGTTGGGCGGTCGAGATAAACCAGATGGACAACCGAAGAGGCAATAACCCAGACCGACGGAGAGATAGAGAGAAACCAGAGAAACCGGAGAAACAGAGAGAAGGTTTGAACAAGAGAGAGAGGGAGAGACGGATACTTCGAGAACTGGAGGGGTGATAATAGCCGATTTAATGGGGAAGGTGGTACGGATAGGGATTTATGGTTGGGTGGGATGGGGATTTAATGGGGAGGAATAATGGGATAAGTGGAGAAAAAAATGTAAAATGTAAAAATGTAATGATGAGAAGTTAAAAGGTGGTGGGGTCCATGTCTAAAAATAGAAATGAGACTTTTAATTTGATACGTCCCGAAAAGGAAAGCGGGTCAGTTAATTTGATACGGAGGGAGTAGTATTTAGTCAACTATTTCGCACCCGTGAAAATTCAAGATGATCGGATTAGTGTTCTGTTTTTTTTTTTGAATCAATAGGGTATCTATACATCAACTGAGGGGCTATCATTTGAATTGAGAAATTGATTTTTGATTGTTGCATGTTAATCTGATGTCCAGTGATTGGTAAGGATGGAAGTGGAATGACGGAGCATGTCCAAGCACAGGACTAGACAAGTGAGCTGACTTAGAATTGAAGTCAACTAAAGCCAAAGAAAGTGAATCAAAGCCTTGAAGGATAGGCTGAAGTGGAGAACGAGCAACGAAAGCATGCTCTCTCGGTTGCAGTTGCCACTGTGGCAGACGGGCAGACGCGGATGCTGCTGTAGATGCTGCTCAGGCTGCCACGAAAGTTGTTAGGTTAAGTTCCCTAAATTAGCTGTTGCAGTACATAAACCTATTCCTAGATAAAACGTTACCTTACCTATATATCAATGTGAAAATGTTAAACATTGCTACCGTCGGTTAATCGATCTTTTGATTATTACACAATTAGCTTGTGTGCGAAATCATAAGTTATGCTCCTTTGATAACACCAATATAATGTCCCACTATAATGAACAATTTTAATAAATATGTAAGTGGGACAAAATTGATTAAATAATATGCAAGAACAGAATTGACATAAACCTATTTTAATGGTGTTTTTCTTTAAAAAGTAATTAATTCATTTCGATTTAATGTTTATATATATTTATTTATGTGTATAATATGATAACTTTTTGTTCTACAATACAAAATTAGTTTCTGTGAAAATTATTATTATTAACAATAAATAAGTAAACTATAAATGAATGAGATATAACTTTGAGAAAGGATTATGTTGAATATCCCTTTGGTAATGTATAATGGTTGACTCCGAATAAAAATTATCTATTTTGTCAAGAAATTATGCAACTTGAATTATAGGTGTATTAAAAGCATAAATGAAACTAGTTGAATATAGTATGAATATATTTTTAGTTTCAAAGTGGCACACTGGTGGAAAAACGACGATTGGAGGCGCTTCTGAACTAGCGCATGCGCCGCTTCTAAG